GAAACCCAAGGAGGGGTCACTATGAGTCGGGTCTGACTCGACGGCACAAAACAACAACAACAACAACAGCAATTATAGGTCATAGAGATGAAGCTATAAAATAAGTAAATAAATCCTGGCACACAAGAATTAAAGAATCATCACTAGCAAGTGGCAGAAGATAACCCCAACTCAAAAAACCAGAAATGCATGGGTCAGCCTTGATTTCCCCACTTTGTCCACACAAAGTGGATGTTGTTGCCCTGGGAGAAGAAGGCCTCCCAGAAGGAAATCCCTGCTTCATGGGGTGCAGTTTTTACCTGTGTCCAGAATGGGCTTTTCCGTGGAGGAGAGAGCAGCAGGCGCACTGGTTGGGATGGAGAGGTCCTCCTGGGAGTGGGTGGTGCTCCCTCCATGCCTCTTACTGGGCTGGGAGTCCAGTGGAGACATCAGGGTGGGGCTGATGCTGCTGAGAGGGAAGCCAGAGGCAGGACTGACTATTGAGATGGAAAAAGGAAGCATGTGCTCAGGAATAGTCCCCTCTGCGGCAACTGTGCAGACGAGGCCAGAGTCCCCGGACCCTCTGCCTGCAGCTCTGCAGGGACTTCAACCTTCTCTCTTTCCAGTGGTGCCCAGCAGGTCTCCAAAATGACTCATAGGCTTGGCAAAGAGGTTCTAGTCCAGGTCCCATCTCTATCCTAAGTCAACTATACCCAGGCATCCCCTGGTCATGGAAGGGACAGCCCCACCCTGTAGTAGCCAACTGGAGAGAAGGGACCAGGGAGTCACCTGGCAGGAGTCTCAGTGTCCACTGGGTTGGTGCTGCAGTCAGGGTGGGTACCCAAGGGAAGCGGCTCATAGGTGGTGTTCCTCGAAGCCATAACTGCAAGGAATGGCAATGTCTTAGAATCGGTCCAGGAAAGACCTAACCAGCAGGGACTGGTAACTCCCAGGGACATCACTCAGAATGCAGGCCCTGAATCAAGCCAACCCAGGCTGGTTTCCTGCTGTCTGTCTCTTCCTCTATCCTCCCTCCTTCCTTCCCTCCATGATCTGATTCTTTGTTGAGAACCTAGTATACACCAAGGCCTGCACTAGGTGCTAGGAGGCAGCAGAGAGCTAACAGATAAGGTTCCTGTCTCAACCCACTCACAGACTAGCAGGGCTCACAGACATGACTCACTCCAGCCAGATGTGGGTCTCTGTAATAAAGACTTACCCTCCTCTGGCCAGGAAGGTATCCCTGAGGAGGGGACTGCTGGGATATGGGCAGGGGGTAGGGGTATTCTAAGCACAGGAAATAGAAGGTGACAAGTCCCAGAAGTGGGGAGCAGGAAGAACAGTACATCAGAAATGCTGTGGGAAGACAGAGAGGCTAGTGGAAAACCCATCCTGGGTCTTGCAGGCCACATTAAAACAGACTCTTGCAGTATTGTTATAATACTGTAATAACAGCAATATTATTCATATTAGTCAAATACATAGAAACAATCTCAATGTCCACCAACTGGTGAATGGATAAACAAAATGTGGTCTATCCATATAATGAACTGATTTGACAGTAAAAGGAATGAATGCTCCCATATGGGTGAACCTCACAAACATGCTCAGTGACAGAAGCCAGATACAGAAAACCACATGGTGTGTGATTCCACTTATATGAAATGAGCTGTTGTTGTTACTAGGAGTTGAGTCAGTTCTGACTCGTAGCAACAACAGAATGAAGCACTGCCCAGTCCGGCACCATCTCACAGTCACTGCCTTTTTTGGGGGCATTGCTACAGCCACTGTGTCAATCCATCTCATTGAGGGTCTTCTTCTTTTTTGCTGACTCTTTACCAAACATGATGTCCTTCTCCAGGGACTGGTCCTTCCTGATGACACGTCCAAAGTACATGAGACAAAGCCTTACCATCCTCATTTCTAAGGAACATGCGGCTGTACTTCTTCCAATATAGGCTTGTTCATTCTTCTGGCAGTCCATGGTCCATTCAATATTTTTTGCCAACACCATAATTCAAAGGCATCAATTCTTCTTTGGTCTTCCTTACTCACTGCCCAGTTTTCACATGCATGTGAAGCAATTACAAATACCATGGCTTGGGCCAGGGATACCTGGACAGTCCTCCAGGTGACATCTTTGCTTTTTAACACTGCAGCAGATCAGCCCACTGCAATGTGTTGTTTGATTTCCTGACTGCTGCTTTCATGGGCATTGTTTGCAGATCCAAGTATATGAAATCTTTGGCAACTTCATTATTTTCTCTGTCTATTATATGAAATGAGCAGAAAGGCAAATTCATCAAGAGAGAAAGTAGATGAAGAATTTTCTGAGGCTAGAGGTAGGATGGGGAGTGATTGGGATGAGGTTCCTCAGATTGTGGTGATGGCACCAGGACTATGGGGAGATGGTGCCACCATAGGAGCCCCCACTGGTCCCAAAAGGATGAGAAACATGGGGGGCAAACCAGAACTAATCCTGCCAGCCCAGCAAGATTAGCAGCACCTCCCAGCTGCTCAAAAAAACCAAACCACAACCGTCCAGTCAATTCTGACGCATAGCAACCCTATGAGGCAGAGTAGAATTATTGCCCCTTTGAGGGCATCCAACCAAATGGCAGGCCATCCATTTGTCACCAGACTATATTATCTGAATTAATTGAAGCCTCTAGGCCTTAATCTATGAGGAAGTGAATGTAATTTATCACAATAGTTTCTATGTATATGCAAATCAGTATTGGGGCTATTATTTGAAATGTTTCAGTGAGAGTTTCCTTTAAAAGGACTGGAAGACCTCTTGTGCTCAAACGCACTACTCCAAGAGCCACGGCTACACCCAGTTGGCACCATGAGAGTGCCATTTGGCCCCTCTCTGAGGTGGCCTGATGGCACTAGACAGCTCATGGGGAGCTGCCACGAGAACACCTGCTGGACCCACCGACAGAACCGCTGCCCCTCCTCTGAGCAGAGAAAGCACACGCAGCCCTCCGCAGGGCCACCTGCTTCTAGTCTCAACTTAGGAACTGAAAATAAATTATTTACCAAACTTCAAGCCCAGATATCTGATCGTTGGGCTATTTCAAGAAGAATGGTCATAGCATTGAGATCAAATCAAATGGATTCTCTCTTTTGTACATCCATTAATTGTTTAAGATTAGGTGAAATTTTCATCTTCATATTTGGACTGCAAACTTCTTGTCGGGTTTCTATTTTCCATGGAGTTCCCAATTGCCTTTCCGCCCCTCCGTCCTTGTTGGTAAAAGAATCATGTGCCTTCACCATATCCTCATGTTTCTCGATTCTACTCATCTTGAAACGTGCTGCAGTCCTCCCTTTGATCCCCACAGACGTCCCCTGGAGCTTTCCATTTTGGGCCTCAGCTTGGCCCCAATTGCATCCTAGGTCTTCAGCACAGCTGTCATCCTGGAATTTCCCTTCCTTGCTGCCCTGGGATAGAGCCACTGTTTTTTTGGGTTCCATGGCTTCCTCTTTTTTTCCCCCTCATTCAGCTGGATAACATCTTCAATTAATTTTCGAACAGAAGATACATGGGAAAAACCTTCCACGTTTGAAAATGTTTTTACTCTCTTTTCAAACATGATTATAATTTGACTGGTAAACAATCTAGGTCCAGAATTGTGAAAATATAGTCCCTTGTAGATTACTTGTTCTTGGTTTTTCTCTTTGTTTGTTTAACCCTCCAAACGTTTTTAGAATTTCTCTTTGTCTGTTCATGAGAATATGTCTCAAACATTCTATGAGAATTCTAAAATTCTATGAGAACATGTCTCAGAAAAACCAAACCCACAGCCATCAAGTCAATTCCAACGCAAAGCGACCCCCACTGAGTTTCCAAGGCTGTAAATCCTTATGGAAGCAGACTGCCTCATCTCTCTTCTGCAGAGCAGCTGGTAGGTTCGAACCACCACATTTGTGGTTAGCAGAAAAATGCCTTAACCATGACACACCAGAGCTCCTAGAGGGTATGTCTAGGTCTGGGTAATTTCCATCCATCCTGCTTTACCCTTCACCTTACATTTTTAAGTCAGAAAAAAATTATCTTTATTAGTTCTTTGATTGTCTCTGCCTTTCACCCCCGACCTTCCTGCACTTTCCACGTCTTCTCTGGATTTCTATTGGTGAGACAGGACTGTCTGAATGGATCTTCTGAGTTCTTAGCTTTTTCAGATTTTCCACCTCTCGGTTATCTTGCTCTATTTTCTGGAAGTCTTCTTTATCTTCAAGTCCTTCTACTGAAATTTTTCATTTCAGCAATTATATCACTTACTTTCTGCACTAGTGTGGGTGCGATCCGGGGACAGAACCTATACAGTAATTTAAACAGCAGACATTTAACATGAAGAATTATTAAACTATGATAGGAGAGTAATTATAAACATTACCAAAAACTCTACAGGTTGCCCTCAGCTGAAGGAGAGCACCCAAGGAGAGACAAACTTCAGAGTTGACTGGAGAAGATGGAGTCGCAGCCCACTGGATGGCAGAGAAATCCTCTGCATTTCCTACACCACAGCTGGTCCCTAATCACCAGGTGTCTCAGTTCCTAGAGCTGCTATAACAGAAATAGTACAAGGGGATGACTTTAACAAACAGAAATTTATTCTCTCACAGTTTAGGAAGCTAGGAGTCCCAATGCGAGCACCAGCTCTAGGGAAACGGTTGTTCTCTCTGTCAGCTCTGGAGGACGATCATTGTCTCCTTCAACATCTGTGGGCCCAATGTTCCTTGAAGATTTCCATGTGTCTTGGCATCAATCTTGTCCTGGGTCTAGGAGGTTCTCGGTACAGGGATCCCAGGTCCAAAGGACACACTTCTCTCCAGGCTCTTCTTTCTTGGGTACTGAGGTCCCTCCTCTGCTGGCTTCTTCTCCCTTTGATCTCTTATAAGGTGAATGGTGATGCAGGCTACACCCCAAGGAAACTCCCGAACATTGGATTAAGGCTGTTACATGAGTAAGGGGGGCAGTGACTTAAATAAGAGTGACTGATCTCAACCTCATTAACAGGCAGAAGTTAGGATTTATAACATCACAAAATGGAGGATAATCACACAATACTGAGAATAATGGCCTAGCCAAGTTGACACATATTTTGAGGGACACAATTCGCTCTAAGACACTGGGCAAGCAGAAAAACCCTCAGAAATACAGGAAAGCCAATGATGGTGGGCGTCTCAGAAGAGTGGATGCCACTGTGGATGTGAGACCTAAAGCACATGGTATCTATGTCAGGAGGGCCAGAGAAAAGAGCCCTCTGGGGTGTAGGAGAGCCAAGGCTGGAGAAAGTGTGCCATGGGAATCAGGGTGCCTCTGCTGACATGAGACCTGGAACTTCCTTTCTGAAAATTTATTGAAATTTGACATCTGCTAATGAGCTGGGTTCCCCACCCCCACTGTCGTTTGCACACTGACAAATGTCCACCATCTTGGAGCTGGAAGCCTCTTCATAAACTTCATATTCTTCTACCTTAAGTCAATAAAACACCCTTGCAAATGAGTCAAAATTTACCAGCCCAACAGTTTCAGCAAAAAGAATTTTTTTAAAAAAAAAGAAGAATCAGACTCTTATCAAAATACTCCATCTGGATTTTATTCCACTCACTCGATCTAACTATTGAAAGACTAACCAAAGATCAAAGATGACCTACTTGACTGTCAGAGTTGAAGGTCATTTGCTCCAACCTGACAAGAGTTACAGTAGTTAAGGTCACAGACCTCAGCCCCTTGGTTGTAGTGGAGGTTACTTACACTAGAGTTTGACAGCCATACCTAATGGGCAGAGAGGATGGGTGATGCAGCGGGCACAGGAGTTGGTGGCTGATGTGGCACAGAACATTCCCGGTCGGCATTCACAGACACGGGGGGAGTTCCACGTGCAGGGAGTCTTCTCCACAAGGTCATCTAAGGACACACACAAGGGTCATGGACAATATCAAGAGATGATAAGGGAGGGGGTCCAGAGACCCGCCCACAAGTGTAGAGAACAAAAAATGAAATAAAACAGAAGAGGTTTTATGAAAGAAAAAGTATAGCAATGTACTTACATATTTTGGAAATATTTTGCATTCTCTGTTTTATGGATGAAAATAGAATTATTACATCAATAGATTAGAAGAATGTGACTTGGTCAACAAGAACATTTCTCAATCAGCAAGGTATTTACAGACCCAACAGGATAAAGATAAGTATCTCCCTTGCAACCCTCAGAGAAAGGGTGAACTGGGGAGGATTTGGGGACTTTGTGCCAAGGGCATGAAGGA